GCTCCCCGGTCCTCTTCCTCTGCCCCCAGGGCTGCAAAGTCACAGGTCGAGGGTTTGTAGACGATATCGAGGTGGGATGAGAAGTAATTGATGTAAACCTTTGCATTGAATGGTTTACAAGCTAACGCACAGAGCGAGTAGTGATATCCCAATGCTCCCTGTGGCTCAATAACTCACTCTTGTCTCTTTCCTCCGTCAAGACACACTTTGCAATCCACAACAGCACATCGCTGCTAATCCCATAGTTATCCTCGATACAGGACAAGCAGTCTACGACCGCTACCACCTCACGTTCCGCATCGTCGAGCAGCGCACGCATTGTACCCGTCCTGACGGGGTCGCAGTCAACGGTCACGTTGAAGGCATAGCAGCCTGGAGGGATAAACTCCATGCTAGTAGCGAGGACAAGCGAGTCCTGGAGGTTGTTCTTGAAAGCTTCAAGCAGACCCCCGATGCGGGTCTTAGACATGGCACCCTCGACTGAATCGTGCGCAGGCGTTGAACGTCGTTGTAGATCGAGACACCTATGGAGCAGAACGATGTCTTGATACATTGCTCGAGCTCTCTTTGGTGTTGCAGCAACTGCTCCACCTCTGCCTTGAGGTTGCTTTCACGGACCTGGCTCAACCGCACTGTGATTCCAGGGGTATCCTCTGATATCGCGGTAGTGACGACAGCATCGATACCCTGCTGGATCATCATGCTAAGCTCACCCTCATAGTTACGATATGACACCATCTGGAATGTCTTGATATATTCATACAGGTGCATCTGCTCGCCTTGTTTGTTCAGCAGCCTCTTACTCCTCCTGGCATTCCAGATGCTCTTGAGAACCATCATGATCATCTTCTGAAAGTGCATGGCGGCGAGCACCTGCTCCTGATTGATCATTGCACAGGCAATCTGCAACTTTCCCTTGCACTTGTACATCAGGTATAGCAAGTCCTCATTGATCTTGGTTTTATCCCTCTCATCCTCCTTCCTGTGCATCTCAACCCTGACGCGGAGCTTGATGAGCTCGGACTCGACCTCATCTCACAGTGACGAGAACGTGGACATGTCAAACTATAACTTGACATGCAGGATCGCTAGGCAGGGACCTTATGAAGAATCTCCGCCCCCTCCCCCCCTCTTCCCCCTACAGGGCCCGGACATCCGACGCACTGCAGGTTCACTGTTTAGGCCCGCCGGGCTCCGATACTGGTCATGTCCTCGTACTGATGTTTGACTTAACTTTGAGTAAAAAGGAGGGTTGCATCGGTCACCGGGTCACTGGGCCCGGCCCCTAACGCCCGGCCCCGGAGTCAGGTCCGAGGGGGTGCCACGGTGATCAAGGTGCAGTCAAAAGGCTGAAGATTGATGGGCACGAGCCGTGCAGGAGCCTCAACGGTTGACAGCCTCGGACATCCGGTGACTCT